AGTTGTGTCCGAGATCGCAATAAACCTGGCCGAGGTGCCTTTGTACCTTACTAGACTCTGTGGTCATTGGGGGTTCTCATCGGGTTTGCTGTGTCAGCTATCTGCGCAGAGCTGGGGCAGCACACAGAGGGAACACACGCACGCAGCCGAGTGATATCAACAGGAGAAAGCAGAAGCACCACACCGGTAGCATCTTACAACATGGGGGTGTCTGTAAGGGTCCAGGCGAAGAGCTGGAGCTGTAGATATGTTTAGTAAACAAGAAGAGTGGAACCCCTGTGCTGCCCTGTTAAACTACAGACTGTAATGTTCAGTACGGTAACCACCCGTGGGGACCAGGACAGGATGCTGACTCCCATTCTCTGCACACTTCTTTGCTGGGTTAAGACTTCCTGCTCTCTTATTCCCTGCTGCTAGCGGTATAAGATGGGAAGAGCCCGCTAAGCTCTTTGCAGGTGTCCATCCTGTGTCCTTCTGGGAGGGGGCAGCCCCGGGCTTATGCCACCTCCTGGCTAGTGCTGTTCACTGTTCCTGGCAGCCCCTTTCTTACCCTCTGATCCTGTAATGACGGTGGTGGTGATTGTAATCTCATTAACAGCTAACCTCCCTGCATTGTATGTATCCAAGTGCACCTCTCGATTGTACTGGGAGACACATTTAGAGGAGAGAAGTTCCCAGACAGAAACCCTTTGGTCCTGGAACTGGCCAACTGTCACATAGGAGTCAGACTGTAGGAGATTCAGTATTTGTTGGTTATCTGGAGAGAGACCCTCCTCCAGAGCGTGTGAGATGCTGGTGGTGAGGCTGGTTATCATTTTCTCAGTGGTGAGCGTCCCTGTTCTGTGTTTCTCTAGAAGCTCTTGTCTTGTTTCCTTAGGGACATATTTGGAGAAGAGCAGATCCCACACAGAGACCTTTGGCCCTTGGAACTCGCCACATGGCCCGTCGACTGTCGTGGACTTTAAGACCATTTCCTGATTTTCATTTCTCTCGGAATAGGCAGCATCAGCTTCCTGCAATGGGGCCCTCTCTGCACTTGGACTGTGCACATTTGTTGCTAGTTTTCTCCTTGTTGCTCCTATTTTGGTTACAATGGTGGTGACGACAGTTATCACCTGGTCCATGGTTAATATCCCAGCTCTGTACAGCTCCAGGAGCTCCTGTCTCTTCTCTTCGGGGATGTAGTTAGAGAAGAGCAGGTCCCACACCGAGACCTTTTGCTCATGGAACTCGCCCCCCGGCATCTCCACCAGGGTAGACTTTAAGGCCTTTTCCAGTTTTTTATCTTCATGTAAGTCAACGTCCTCAGCTTTCTCTACGGTCATCGTGTCTTTGCTGGGAGTTTTCACATTAATCACAAATTTCCTGCTTGTAGCTTCTTTTTTCTTAATGAGGGTGGTGACCACGGTTATCACCTGGTCCGTGGTTAATATCCCAGCTCTGTACAGCTCCAGGAGCTCCTGTCTCTTCTCTTCAGGGATGTAGCTAGAGAAGAGCAGGTCCCACACCGAGACCTTTCGCCCTTGGAACTCACTGCCAGGTCCATCTATGGTTGTAGCTTTTAAGATGTTGTCCAGTTGTGTATCTTGTAGAGAATGGGCAGCTACAGCTTCCTGCGAAGTTATCTCCTCTCTGTTTGGACTTTTGACACTTGTCATGAATTTCCTACTTGTAGCTTCTGTGGTTGTTATGATGCTAGTGATGATGGGTATCATCTGATCAATGGTTAAAACCCTTGTTCTATACAACGCCAGGAGCTCCTGCCTCTTCTCTTGAGGGATGTGTTTAGAGAAGAGAAGATCTAACAAGGAGACATTTTGCCCTTGGAACTCACCAGCATTTACATGGATGGTCACACGCTTTAAGGACTTTCTCAAGTGTTTCTCTTGTGAATGGGCATCCTCAGCCTTGTCTGATGTTACCCCCACTTTACTGGGATCTTCTGTGTTTGTACATAGATTCCTGCTCCCCGTTTCCACCTCAGTAACGCTGGTGGTGAGGATGGTTATCATATCTTGAATGGTTAGCGTCCCTGCTTTGTACTTATTCAGAAGCTCCTGTCTTTTGGTTTCAGAGATGTAGCTAGAGAAGAGAAGCTCCCACAGGGAAACCTCCTGCCATTTTAATTCCCCGACAGGAACATCGACAGTCTCCGACCGCAAAGCGTTTTCCAAATGTTTGTCGCACAATGAGCCGGGAGTCTCAGCTTCCTCTGATGTTGTCTCTGCACTGGGACTTTCCCCATGTCCTGGTAGATGGTGACTTTTCTCCTCTGTTTTGCTTACGATGGTGGTGACGATGGTTTTCATTTGGTCCGTGGTTAATATCCCAGCTCTGTGCAACTCCAGGAGCTCCTTCCTCTTCTCTTCAGGGATGTATTTGGAAAAGAGCAAATCCCACACAGAGACTTTTCGCCCGTGGAACTCGCCCGCCGGCACCTCCACCAGGGTAGACTTTAAGACCTTTTCTGTTTGTTGCTCTTCACAGGAGGGGGCATCTTTGTCTTTCTCAGAAGCTGTCCTCGTCTCTTTGCTGGGGGTTTTCCTAGTTGTGGGGAGTTTTCTGCTTTTCCCTTCGGCCTCAGTAACGCTGGTGGTGAGGATGGTTAGCATATCTTGAATGGTTAGCGTCCCTGCTCTGTACTTATTCAGAAGCTCCTGTCTTTTGGTTTCAGAGATGTAGCTAGAGAAGAGAAGCTCCCACAGGGAAACCTCCTGCCATTTGAATTCCCCAACAGGAATGTCGACAGTCTCCGACCGCAAAGTGTTTTCCAAATGTTTGTCGCACAATGAGCCAGGAGTCTCAGCATCCTCTGATGTTGTTGTCTCTGCACTGGGACTTTCCCCTTGTCCTGGTAGATGGTGACTTTTCTCCTCTGTTTTGCTTACGATGGTGGTGACGATGGTTTTCATTTGGTCTGTGGTTAATATCCCAGCTCTGTGCAGCTCCAGGAGCTCCTTCCTCTTCTCTTCGGGGATGTATTTGGAGAAGAGCAAATCCCACACAGAGACTTTTCGCCCGTGGAACTCGCCCGCCGGCACCTCCACCAGGGTAGACTTTAAGACCTTTTCCGTTTGTTGCTCTTCACAGGAGGGAGCATCTTTGTCTTTCTCAGAAGGTGTCCTCGTCTCTTTGCTGGGGGTTTTCCTAGTTGTGGGGAGTTTTCTGCTTTTCCCTTCAGCCTCGGTAACGCTGGTGGTGAGGATGGTTATCATATCTTGAATGATTAGCGTCCCTGCTCTGTACTTATTCAGAAGCTCCTGTCTTTTGGTTTCAGAGATGTAGCTAGAGAAGAGAAGCTCCCACAGGGAAACCTCCTGCCATTTGAATTCCCCGACAGGAACGTCGACAGTCTCCGACCGCAAAGCATTTTCCAAATGTTTGTAACACAATGAGCCAGTAGTCTCAGCTTCCTCTGATGTTGTCGTCTCCGCACTGGGACTTTCCCCATGTCCTGGTAGATGGTGACTTTTCTCCTCTGTTTTGCTTACGATGGTGGTGACGATGGTTTTCATTTGTTCCGTGGTTAATATCCCAGCTCTGTGCAGCTCCAGGAGCTCCTTCCTCTTCTCTTTGGGGATGTATTTGGAGAAGAGCAAATCCCACACAGAGACTTTTCGCCCATGGAACTCACCCGCCGGCACCTCCACCAGGGTAGACTTTAAGACCTTTTCCGTTTGTTGCTCTTCACGGGAGGGGGCATCTTTGTCTTTCTCAGATAGCGGCCTCGTCTCTTTGCTGGGGGTTTTCCTAGTTGTGGGGAGTTTTCTGCTTTTCCCTTCGGCCTCGGTAACACTGGTGGTGAGGATGGTTATCATTTCTTGAATGGTTAGCGTCCCTGCTTTGTACTTCTTCAGAAGCTCTTGTCTTTTCTCTTCAAGGACGTATTTGGAGAAGAGCAGATCCCACACAGAGACCTTTCGCCCTTGGAACTCGCCCCCCGGCCCGTCGACTGTCGTAATCTTTAAGGCCTTTTCCCGTTTTTCATCTCTCTGCGAATGGGCAGCCTCGGCCTTCTGTGACGTTGCCCGTTGCGTGCTCGGACTTTTCACGGGCCTGGGCTCTCTGCTGCTCTTTCGCTCTGCCTCGGTGATGAGGGTGGTGATGATGGTTGTCATTTCCTGAATGGTT